GAAATCAATTTTTATCTGAAATGAACGCACATAAAATTTACAAATATTTACAAAACAATTGTTGAGCGTTAAGTACTTGCTAACTGGAAAGCTCTAGTTTTTCAATTTTTTCACGCCCTTTTGTCCTAATGTAAAGCATCAAGCACTGGAGAAAGTCGCAAAAAGGGATCGCATTTTCCAATTTTGATTATTTTATTTTTGTATTTAGTGAACAATCTCCCTCCTGGATTCGACTTCTGTTTCCGGGATATGTAATAATATTCCTGTTCTGGACATTTAAGAAATGTAATTGTTTATAAATATTGGATTAAATAATAAAAAGAACGCAGCTAAACTAAATAAAACAATTCTAAGTATCCTTAATCTCGATCTGCTGGATAGGCTAAAACGTGTAGATACGTCTTAAAAATTGATTTTTGTTAAGGCTATGTAATCAAGATAATTTCTTTCATCTGAAAACAATTGACAAATTTCTTCTACAATTTGTACAAAAATGTTGGTTTCAAATTAATATTTTTGAGTATAACCTCTTCAATAATCAAACGAATTATTTCTTTTCTATGGCAGTTTGAGAAATTTCTTTTCTTTCCGTGTTGCGGGTTTTATGCCATTATTTTGCCAGCGAGACTACCTTGCACTTATTATATCATGATCTTAGACGCGTGCCAAACGGAAAGAGTAAGAGCACATTTTGATTTCCATTTTTTGCATAAGAAAGAATGAGACCATAGTATAGTATAGTATGCACACTCCTCAGTAAATTTAAATTTAAAATCTTCAGTAAAGACTTTTTTTCTTTAGATTAATTGTTTTTGGTATTGGTTAAAGATTACTTCGTATTCTTTTTAGAATAATTGGTATTATTTTAATAGAAACTCTTCGGTCTTTACCGGTATATTCTATCGGCAAATTGTGTCAAATTGCTAATATTAAATATAAAAATTCTATTTATACTTCATTTAAAAAAAAATTTAAAGAATGTAAATTTACTTATTGTTAGAGAAAAACCATTTGAGAGTTTCCAACTTCTCGCCATCAAATTCATTTTAAACATGCCTTTAGGCTATGCTCAATAAATGATTTTACTGTAACAAAGAGCAAATGCCCTAAAGAGTGTCGATTGTGGTATAGGCAAAAAAATCTATTCAAAATAAATTAAAAATAGGAGTTTTATATAAATTTTAGCAATTTGGCACAATGTGGACCCAGAAAACACAAAAGAGATTTGTATGTAAGTTGTAAGTTGGCGCATTGTATATTTCACTCGTTGTTTGCCAAGTCCATCCAATTCAGATGGACAAATTACAAATTTTGGGGTGGGAAAATTTTATGGACCACCCGATGAAGGAAGACAGATGGATCTCTGTGGGAAGCCCCAATTGCTAGGCTCTCCTGCGTTAAAAACAGGTTTAATAAAATTCGCTCAACAATATAGGGAAATATGGGGGTTTCGGTAGTAGAGCTTTAGTTTACAAGATAAATATTCTTCCTATACATTCTATACATTTTGTTTTTAAAAGAAAATTGATTTTTAATATATTGTATTAGTCCGCCATCGCAATACAACTACTCACCTAATTCGTCTATCTGCTGTATATGACAAAATTCATCCTTACTCGGACAGAAAGCTGAGATAAAACTTGCAAGCCCCGCATACTGTCTTTCCGTGTTGAGTCGTACATATGAGCAGTTCCAGCTCTTATATATTTAATAAATTTGCACGTTGCCAAGTTCCAGTATACAAAATCCGAACGCATTCCGCGATAGGGAAAGTGGCCCGCTGATGCGTCAGCTTGAAGTTACCATTCTGCTACTAAATCAACCTACACGGTAAAAATTGTGTGCAAATTAAAAAAAAATTTTGTTTTGCGACACCCCGTTTTCATTGGCAGACTCAAAAAAGAGACCTTCGTAAGTTGTAAATAACCTTTTCATTAAATTTCAAAATGGCTGAAAATTTTACTTAGTTGATCACAACAAGTCAGCAAACTAGTTCTTATGAGAAAAAAAGGAAACCCACACAAACGTACTGGCAGGAATATAGAGGGAACTTAGAAAAGAGGGATTTAAAATTGCAACAATAATATTACAACCATAAAACCATATATTTAAGTTATTCCTGCTTTCATTACATTTACCTATACTTTTTATATTTATAATTTAACATTCACCAGTTTGGCATTTTCATCTACATTAAACGATAGTTTCCATTTAAGCTATATTACATAGTATAGAAAATCAAGAATAATACAAAAAGGATACTTTAAATTTGATGAAAATCTCTTAAAAACCGGAAAAGTTTTTATACCCTTGAAGAGTATTATAATTTCAGTCAGAAGTTTGCAACGCAGTGATGGAGGCACCTCCGACCATATAAAGTATACATATTCTTGATCAGGATCAACAGCCGAGTCGATCTAGCCATGTCCGTCTGTCTGTCTTTCCGTTTCTACGCAAACTAGTCTCTCAGTTTTGAAGCTATCTGAATGAAACTTTGTAGTTAGTTATGCAGCTTTTTTAAATCAGTCAATAAACAATAACTAAAGTGGTCCAAGACATATAGCAACAGATTACGATTGTACGATTAGACAGTTATGTTAAACATTAGACATATAAAGGAAAGCTCAAACCATGTTTTGTAAATCTGACTGCAAGCGATGTACCTATGTTGCACGTAAAGCTTGACAACCTCTGTGTACATAAGTACTCTGATGTTACTCATACATTAAAAAGGTTGTTCATAAATAATGTAAACAATAAGGGACCCAATGGCTTCCTTTCGGGACGCCAGAAGTAACCCTGTTAACATTAGATACAGTATTTTTAAAAAAGGACCTTAAGCGTCCCGCCATTTAGATAACTTAAGATCCTAAGATCAACTGGAAATCCCATTAAGTAGAATTTCGTAGCAAGAGACAATGGTCAACAGAGTCAACTGCTTTACTGAAATTATATAAAGTACATTACAGTTCACGCGTTCCGTACGATAAAGCTTGACCGAGATGATAAATAAGAGGAAAGGGCAGACCCAGTAAGTTTAAATTTGGCATACAGATATTTTATTTTTATGGCGACTCAACTCCACTCTCTCTCAAACCACGGAGGTTTATTCGAGATTAGTGGAACACATTCATTGAAAAATGAATTCATGGCACTGTAAAAAATATCCAAGGCAACTGCCTTCAGGTATGAAAATATTCAGACGTTCAAAGTCCGTCTGGCTGAAACAGAGGACTTTTTTGACATGATGGTCAGATATATTCTATAAGTCAGACCCAATGTCAAAAGTCACATCGAGAGTAGGATTATGGGGATCTTTGGGTTGCTCTCGCCGGATCTGAAACGAAACAAAGATTAAAAAAGCGCTCTAAAATCAATGTTGTACGTCGTAGCCTTGAGAAGGCGAAATCTCGTACAAGCCATCAATAAAATCGTGCTTTGTAAAAGTTAGGAGGGTATTGGTTGATATTTTTTAGGAACAAATAGCCCCATCTGTCTGTCTGTTGAAAACATCTAAATAGCAGAATGGTGTTTTCAATAAATTAAAAGAGGAATGTAGGTAATAAAAAATTCAACATTCTTTGCATTCCTCGAAAGTTTATAATTCTAATGTGAGTGAGAAGTTCACCGCTTTAAGAACTCCACCCCCGCGCGATAGGGTGATCTAGCCGATCTAGCTGGATGTCCAGCGCCAAGAACATTTCATGAGTTTTACGAAAGCTCGATAAAATGCCCTTAAAACCGTTTATGGGTTGCCGCTTGAAAGACAAGACCAATCAAAATAAATCTGACACCAAATCAATCTCAGCATTCGTCGAATTGAAGCTGAGGTCGAAGGCTTTACCGAAAAAGTAACCGTTGCGAATTTTTGGAATTCGCCTTAATGCTACCCACCAATTGCGTTTTTTTCTATTCGAAACACTAAAAATAAATTCGCGTACTGGGTAAGGGGAAAGAAGAGAAAATTAAACAGGGAGGGACGAAGAGGAAAAGAACGGCACTAGACAACGTAACTTGCAAGCTATCTTAGTCAGACTTTGTTTCATGGGGTAAGCGATTCTAGATAGAAAACAATGTCGAGCAGGGATGGCCTTATGCGTGGTCCCCAGTTCAGCAAAGCGGCAAGCGCGGGATTCACGTATATGAATCAAACGCTGCTCCGTTCAACGAAGGATTTAATTTTAATGAAAATCGGAAATATCTGGGGAATAGAATTCTATTAATATGACCTTAGAATTATATTTTCTAGAGTTTGTGTACCTTTTATGTTGTATAATTTTGTTATCATATTTAACCATAGTTAATGATTTATTTTAATTTTGTTGGTCAATCTATAAAAAATCAACAATTTTTTAAGAAAATTCATTGAATTAACAAATTAAAAAATAAAGTAAGAAAAAGTTTGCCTCGACCGAAATTTGAACTCGCGCTAGTCTGTTTGGAAAGCGGATGTTCTAGCCCCTGAGCCACGCACCACGATCGCCTTGCAACGACAAAGACAAATATCTAGCGAGCAAAAAATAAATGTCCTAAAGTGGTTGCAAGTTTTTATCCCTCTCACACGCGATATGCACATGTGGTGAAAAACTATCGATAGTCTGCGCCATCGATAGCGCTTGATAATTTCCAAAAAAATATCGACTATCGACGATAACAAGGAAAATCTATCGTCGATAGTGCAGAAATCTTAAAAAAATAATTTAATTAGTTTTTGTAATAGTCCATATTTATTTATGTATTTGGTTATCCAATCTTTATCTGAAAATAATAAATAATTATTATTCGGAGAATATGATTTTGTATTATTTGGGCTTACCTTAACTGCTATTTCTATATTTATTTCAACCAATAATTTTGGTTAAGAAAAAGCAAGACATTAACATTTTCATCTTTAAGCCTTGTACGTCTATTTGAAATATTTTGTCCGGCTTTGCTGAAAACCCTCTCCGACTCTACAGAGGTTGCGGTTATACACAAATATTTGAAAAATATCATTTCCAATCCGGGAAAGCCTTTCAGGTTCATCTGGAAATTTATTTAATATGTGGATTATGTTTGATCGTATTTACTTAGCTATTTAAATTTACCTTGATCCATAATAAGGGATCCATTTCCTTTTAATATTGTCACACAAAATTTTGCTTTTACCGTTACATTACAAAATAACAATATAACAAAAAAATAACAATATCTTACCTATTTGAAGAAAACGATCCATATTGTAATAAATTACAATTTGTAAAACTATGCCACAAATCCGCGCAATGTGCTTTCGTTCACACTTTTAAGGTAGAGATGAGAAAACCGAACTATCTACGATAGCGATTGACCACTGTCGAGAGTGCGCGCCGCTATCGATGGCGGCTCGATAGCACCAATCCATGGATAGCGTCGATAGTGCCATCGATAGTTCTCCACCTCTAGTGTGTATACTACGTGGCGCGATGTGTAAGCGGCCGGACTGTTAAAAATTAAGACGTATGTTCAATCCCCAGTTGGTCGTATAATATTTTAAAAAAGTTTGTGAGTATGCTTGAAAATGTTTTACTGAACGGAAATGTAAATGTAAATGTAAATATAACAAATGTAAAAAATAAGCTTGTAAAAAAGTCGAAGCACCATGAATTACCTCACTGAGCGCTCAGGGTGAATTTGATCAGCGACGTCGACGTCATGACTTACCCCGCTCACGCATAAATAAAGGCGACTGAGAACTTTAAATAAACTTAATAAACGGTGGGTGCTATCCACCGAACGGGTAAGCAAGAAAGTTAGCATTAATTTTAACCCCACCCTACCATAAAGGATTGCATCAGCGGAGGCTGTTACGTTATCTAAAATTTTTAGAAAAAATAAGAATTAAAAGTCAAGAACTTTGCTATTATTTATTATGTAATACTTTTCTTTTAATCTATACATATATATAAAGAGGAAAGGTTTGATTTTTTGTTTGTTTGTATGAATTGAATAGGCTCCGAAAGTACTTGGCAGATTTGAAAAATTCTTTCAATGTTGGAAAGCTACATCATTCCTGAGTGACATAGGCTATATTTCATTAAAAAAAAAAATAGGCATCCTTAATAAAATAAAGAAAACGTAATCCAAGGTGTTAAAAAAAAAAAAAAATCTACCTTACATCTACCGCCCTCTACAGGCAGACAAAGCATTTCCTGTCAAACATTCAAAACATATTGAAATAAGGAATTGGAGATAAAAATTTTATTTATTTGTTCAGGTTCAGTAAGAAACGAAGTCATGCCACCCAAGAAGTCGAGTTTGGGTCGTCGTACTCGCAATACAGAAGCAAACAGACGTAAGATTACGAATATGAGTGACGAAGAACGGGCCTCCACAGAGAGAGACGCAATGTCGTTATTGGCCGGATGCATCAGGTCTGCATATACTGTCAGGCTCCTTCGATTGAATCAGACGAAACTTCGGTCAGAGGAATATATCCATTTGCGGGATGCTGTGATGAATGACCGTAATACAACCAACGTTGGAAAGCTCACGATTTTGCCATCCTCATACATAGGTAGTCCACGCCAAATGCATGAATATGCTCAAGATGCCATGGCATATGTTCGTTGCTACGGCCGTCCAGACTTATTTATCACCTTCACATGCAATCCAGCTTGGGACGAGATAGTACAGCTGTTATTTCCTGGACAATCGTATAGGGATAGGCATGACATCACAGCCCGTGTTTTCAGACAAAAGCTCAAGTCACTGATGGATTTTATTGTGAAACATGGAGTTTTTGGATCTGTGCGGTGCTGGATGTATTCAGTAGAATGGCAGAAGAGAGGATTGCCGCATGCGCACATACTGATTTGGCTGCATGATAAAATTACTCCAGACGAAATCGACGATGTTATATGCGCTGAGATTCCATGGGCCGAGGTTGATACGGATTTGCATGAAGTTGTCATCAAGAACATGATCCATGGCCCATGTGGTACCCTCAACCCATGTTCACCATGCATGGTAGACGGGAAGTGTTTCAAGGGATATCCTCGAGCATTTACAGCCAACACCGTAACAGGGGACGATGGATATCCTCTGTATAGGAGACGGTCAACTGAAGATGGAGGGACTTCGGCAAATTTAAACATGAGAATTGGTGATATTGAGGTAGACAATCGTTGGGTGGTTCCATACTCAACACTATTGTCAAAATCATACAAGCGCACATCAACGTAGAATATTGCAATTCCGTGAAATCGATTAAATATATCTGCAAGTACGTGAATAAAGGCAGCGATATGGCAGCTTTTGGTGTTCAGGCAGTAAATGGTGACAACAATGCAGTACGAGTTCTCGATGAAATATCTCAATACCAGGCTGGAAGATACATAAGCAGCAACGAGGCTGCATGGAGAATTTTTTCATTCCACATTCATGAACGCTATCCATTAGGAGAATGGTCAACGTGTCTATTTCACAGAAAGAAATGTGCAAGAAAGAGTCCTGAATCCGTGAGCGACAACTCTGACTGCCTTCTTCACCTTATGCCAGGAAGATGATTTTGCCAGAACCTTGATGTATTCAGAAGTGCCCTCTTAACCATAATATGCCCAGCAGGTGGTCAACTAGCTCATATACCGAGGATACCGATGATCCCAACTGATCTGCTAATCCCATTTAAACGGCTTCAATTTCCGGTAAAAACATCTTTCTCAAGTCCCAAGGCCAAACCTTCGAATTAGTAGGGATCGATCTGCGAAAGAAATGTTTTACTCATGGTCAACTGTATGTTGGTCTATCGCGAGTAGGAGCCCCTGAAAATCAATTTATTTTGCTGCCACAAAATAAAACAACATTAAATATTGTTTAAAGAGAAGCTCTAACAAAATAAATGTATTTTTTTTAGGGTTATGACCTCAATAATTGAAAAAAAAAACAAAAAATAAAGGATGAATATGTGTCATATTATTATTATTATGAATGTGTTAAAATTAAATCTAAATGTAATGTTTAATGCCCGTGCGAAGCCCGGACGGGCCGCTAGTGATAAATAAAAGTGTTTAACATAATATCAATATAACTCGCCAAAAAAAAAAACTAATTAATTTCGTTATTGTATATTAGTAAACATTCTTTCCAGTGTATTATATCATCATATTAAAATAGGGAAATGTTTGCTATAATCACTAGCATACATTGCCAGAAAACAGGGTGGGAAAAATAACAGTTTTAAATTTTCAAGTTAATTCTTGTAGCTCTTGCTCGGCCAAAGATACTTTTATTAGCGCCATCTATTAGTCAGTCGAAAGGCAAGAGGCTGCGTCGTCACTATAGCAAGATAGGATAAATATGGCATGGACGAATAGGTGCGAGCAAAAACAAAGCATCTGGAGCTGATGGGGTTACCCCCACCACCCCGCGCAGCAGCGCATAAGATTTTTTTTTTTTTCATTTTCTTTTCACCCGTTTTTAGTTAGCACTTCCGAGGAAAGCGCTTTCATCGGTGGATGTGTGGAATATGGTGAGTGTCACAAATGCACAATAATTAAATGCAGTTTAAATAATTTGAGATAGAAAAACAAAAGGAAAGCAATAAAATTTTTAATCTAATCGGTTGGGAGAAAAAAAAAGAGAAAAACTCAATTCGTAATGCAAAGACATTCAATGCTTCTTGAGCTAAAAACTTTTATGTGTCTTTATGTTTTCTTGTTTATGTATTATGCATAAAGAGCCGAATCTGTAATCAACAGCAAAAATCATAGCAAATGAATTTATATCCCTTATTGAATCCCCCATTATTAGTCTTTTTGTCATTTGTGAGGAATGTCCGAAACTAAAAAGAATTTCGAGGTTATTAATTTATTTCTTATTTGCATGAATACTTGTCTTCATTATTATTATTATTATTATTAACAATTAAACGAAAATTACAAATTCGCGCTTAACTTATAAATAGAAGCTATAGCAACTAAGGCCTTAAGCTAATTCGATTTAGTATTTTTGTATATGTACACGGTATAGTTTTAGTTATTGGGATGGAAGCTTATGTACAGGGGTTTTTTTTTTTTTTTTTTTTTATAATATTACTTAGATATTGCTTATGTACAGGCGTTTGGTTTAAGATATTACTACTTAGGTGTTACATTATAAATTAAATTAAATGGTAAAGCTTTGTGTCTTTGAGAAAGTCTATTGTTTTGTTTAAGTTTTTGTAGGATGTGATTTCCTCTAAAGTTGATTCGAGGTGTTTGTTTCTTTGGCTGCTGTAGAGAGGGCAATCTATTAGGATGTGGGGAATTGTAAGGGTTGTGTTACAATTGGGACAGAGTGGAGGGGGGATTTATTGAGGATATGGTTGTGGGTTAACTTGGTGTGTCCGAGTCTAATTCTGCTAAATTTCTGAAAGTCTGTTCGTAAGGTATTATTGATTATTTCAGGAGAAGGTCTTATGTGGCTAATTAATTTGTAGTATGGTGATGTTTTTCTCAATGTCCTTTTGTTTAGTATTTGTGAGTTTTGTTTGATGTATTCATTTATATCTGATGGGTTGTAGTTGCGTTCGGTGATTAGAGGGAAATTGAGTGCGTTTTTAGCTGCTTTGTCTGCATTTTCATTTCCTTTTATCCCGCTGTGTCCGGGGATCCAAAGCAATGTCAGTTTGTCCGTTTTGTATTTTCCTACTATGTTTCGAATTGAGTTTGTGTAATAGTTTTGGTTGTTGGTGTTATTAATTGCTTTTAGTGAGGATAGGGAGTCGGTGCATATAACGTATTTTCCTCTATGTCGGCTAGCATATAAGCATGCGGCGAGGATTGCCTCAATTTCCGCAGTAAAAATGGAAGAAAATTCGGGGAGAAGTTTGGAAAGGATTATTTCGGTATCAGTTGTGACACTGTATGATACGCCTATTGGTGACTTGGAGCCATCGGTGTACAGAAATGTATGGTTTTCCATTGAGTTAAGAATTTCCTTAAATTTTTGTTGATAGGCAACTGGGGGTGTGTTGGTTTTGCTGATTGAACTTAAGGAGGTGTTGGTCATTGGCTGCTTATTTAGCCAGTTGGGTGTTTTTTCTTTTTTGCTCGTTATTGGGGAGAGTGAAATATTTAGTTTGTTACATAGATGAATAGTGTTGTAAAGGGTGGAGGGTATCTTTGGCACTTTTTTAGCATTAATAATATGTTTATATATTTGTTCGATGGGTGAGTGTTTTGAGTTTAAGATAATTTTAAAGTTTTTTTGGGTAGCATGAATCTCTCTAAACTCAAGGGGAGTTATATTTGCTTCTATTAAGAGATTATTTATTGGTGTTGTACGGTGAGCAGAGAACGCAAGTCGGCAAATTTTTTTTAGTCTTATTATTCCCAACGTGGGTAAATGTACGGTCATCACTATTTGCCTCAACTACATCTCCCACAAGAGATTTAGGT